GCTCCAAATGCACCTGATAAACACTCAAAACATGCAAAGACTCATTGGGACCTAATGCATCTCCTAAGTTCTAAAAAAAACCCTAAGGACCTAAAATGCATGGAATAAAACATGATTTAGAATGAATTATGCAACCTAAATGATGTAAATTATGAACATATCAGTATGGTACCAGATAAAGATAAACTGGTCATCTAGGACGACGAAGAGTGGTAAAAGTGAGGGTAAAAGACGTCCTAGATGTGTATGTCGATGTCTAGCCTAAAATCAATGATGAGAAAATTAGATATCAATATTAAGGTCAAATAAAATGAGCTAGTATATCCTGTCAGAAAGAATCTCCATGAATAGAAGTCCTCTGGTGGGAGTTCGTAGTGCAAGTACTCTAGCTACTGCCTAGTCTAGTGCTAACCACAAATGAGCTATCATGCATAGTGTAGAAGTGTGCAGGTCTAAATCATCATAGTTTTGTGTCAAACATTCCTGAAAAATACTTAATGTCGAATAGGTCACATATTAAAATTTAAAAAGTGCTTGAAATTTAAAAGCAAAAGCAAGAAAATGATTAGTACGGATAGACATCCTCCCCCAGACTTTAATCACATTGTCCCAGTGTGAAAAAGTTGGTGAGAAAATGGTGAATAAAAGCGAAATAAAATAAGATAAAAGAAAAGAAAATGATGATAGAACCGTGATGGCAATGAAGTGTTGATCAATCACTCATCCTCCGATGTGTCTGCTGCGAACTGGTGCTGCTCTTGTAGGTTGGTGACAACGCACTCAAAGCGTCGTCCCTGTCTCTCAACTCTGCGCTCCAGATCAGAATATGTGTGCGATGATGTAGATGATGAGGTGTGTCCGGTCGAAACGGATGGCTGAAAATGAGCACGGGCCGCAGCTGCATCACGCTTTGCCTTGGTCACTATGTATTGGCCAATGGTGAATGGTAGACGAGGTACAGATGGCAGAAAATCATCGGGTTCCGGAGTCCATCGCGGACGTCCTCCGTTACACAATCTCAGGACTGATGGTGAAGGCAAGCTGACTCGGTGCTCCTCAGTGCCAGTGCAATACTTGTAACCAAATCTGTCTGGATCGAAAGCGGCACGAGAGATAGTGTGATCGCGAGAGAGATAAAGTAGGTCATACCAGACATCGGGAAGTGGATCATCAGATGAAAAATCGAATCCTACAGCCTGTAGTATCGCTGTAATAGCACTCCCGTAAGCTGGAGTAGCGTCCTCGCAACCATGTAAATCATGCTTCACCTTTACCATGTTCTGTGCTATGATCCAGGCAAAGCAGGCAAGTCGTGGGTCGTCCATAAATGGCATCTGAAGTGTAATGAGCTCGGTCTTCAAAACACATCCCATGTTGGCTCTAGAGAAAATCGTGTGTGCTAAGAGTTTGTGCACAACTCTCACTGCTGAATGAGTAAGAAGGGCTGACTTGGATCTCCCACTAGCATAGAGTCCATGACCCATCTCTCTCCACAAGTTAAAATCGGGTTCATCTTCAAGGTAAATGCCATCGGTGTATGGAAGCTTAAGAGCCTCACAAAGTTCAGAAATTGTGAGCGAGTAAGGCTGTCCACGGATAGAGAATGACAAGATGCCATCTGATGCTCTGGGGTTCCTCCTCTTCGTGTGGTGGATTGTAATAGTTGCTAAGAACTCGCGGACTAGCTCAGGATAAGTCGGAAGGTTCAGCTCCATGTAGGGTCTCAGCTTAAGTGCATCGATGTACCAGATTACATCTTCTCTGATTCCAAGCATCTCAAGTGTATGATAATCAATGCAAGGCGTGGGTTTGATGTTCAGCTTCTTGAAACGTCTTGCATAGTCCACTCTTGGGTTTATCTTCTTGCCATTGTATCGAATATGTGGTTCCTCTTGAGTGCTGGAGCAATCTCATCACATAGTTTCTTCTTCTCGGTCTGGCTTGGTTCAGCATGTACTCTCCTAGAGTAGCATCATCGGTAATGTCCTCAGAGCTGTCACCAGTGCGACGGCTTCTTCGGGATCTGGTTTGTTCCATTTTTTTCTGCAAAACAAAATGATTCTTGGAAAAATTGTGAATATGGATGCTGATTTTAACACATTAAGATCAGTTATACTAATACTAGTATAAAGAGATTAATTAAAACCATGAGCAAGCACAATTGACATTAAATCAAAGAAATCGAGTAGTTCATTAGATTCGGATTTTTGATGTTCTCAACATAGAAATCTTCTAAAAATCGGTTTTAATGAGCAATTTCCATGTCAAACCTATAGGTTACCTAATACTAATCACTAATCACACAAGACTTAATCAGATTCATCAATTTTGCTGTTCCATATTCGATTTTTATACAGCATGTAGAATCCAAATTTCAAAAATCTCAATTCCTCTTAAGCTAGGTGTTAAAATCGATTTTTAGATAACCTAAAAGGATAATCTATTGTTCTTAAGCTATTTCCACCATCAATAAACCAAGATTTGGGCTTTTTAAGAAAATCCTAAGTTCTAAAATCAAGTAAAAATGGAGAGTTTGAGCTTCATACCTTGCTGGAAAGAGAGATTTGATGACAGAATTGAAATCAGCTTTGAAAAAAAGTGAGGTTTGGGCCAAGAATCTCTTAAAAACCTCAAGAATTGAAAAAAAATGTTATATCTCCTAAATCTCCAAGTCTTTTGGAAGAGAAGAGAAGAAGGAGTTTTGATCCAAAAAGTGCATTTCTTTTCTTTAAAAAGCGTTTTTGTAGCAAAAACGGAAAATTTCCGGGAATTTTTAAGTTTACGGGAACTTACCTTTCTTGTCTTGCACGCAAAGGAGGTTTAAAACTTACGGAAAATCTTAACGTGCTTTACCGGGAATGATCCGAAAATCACCGGGAATTTCGGGAACTTTTGAAAAACAGTGGAAATCCGCATCGTCACCTCAACAACCAACGGCTGCGGTCAAGAGACTTGCGACCGCGCCGACTGAAGGCTCGGCCGCGGTCACATTCACGGTGCTGCGGTCGATGCACCCTTAGCCGCGGGTAGGTTGGTCGCGACCGCGGCTCTTTCTCCTGCGGCCTTTGTCCAACTTTCCGGTCTTTGCCGGGCCGAGCAGCTAAAACCTACCCTTTTCTTCTTGGTTTTTCTAATTTTCTGATTTTTTTTTTGTGTTTTTTTTGTCTTATAAAATACCTGAAACTTAAAGAAAAAGAAAGCATAAATTGTAAAAAGGAAAAGGAAACTAAAAGAAAAAGTACATAAATGGGTTGCCTCCCATTAAGCGCTTTTGTTTTAAGTCGTTAGCTCGACGTAAGCATGAAAAATCAGGCTGATTTGAATGGCACTCCACTTGATGTGCCCTTATCACTCCCGGTCGCTGGAGGTTTTACTACTTCTCCTTGAGGAGCCGTCTTCTTTCCTTTACTCTTCTTTCGGACTTTAACATTATTTAAAACTCTTTTTGTGTTTTCGATTAGCTCCTGGATTTGGTCCTCACTAGTTTCTGTTGCATCTGGTGGAATGATGATCTTGATCTTCGCAAAAGCTTTCGGCTTCTCTTTTTCTTTCTCTTTGGATCTGTTTCCCTTGCTTGGAAAATCGTCTAAGATAGTCGGGTAGTACCTTCTGCGATCCACATTGAGGAAAACAGCATGCCGGTTTGCGTGATCGATTACTGCTCCTACGGTAGCTAGGAATGGTCTCCCGAAAATGAGTGGCCTCTCCTTGTCTTTATCCATCTCCAGGACTTGGAAATCTGCTGGAACAATCTTGTCTCCCACTAGAACTTGTAGATCATGAATCGCCCCTTCAGTATCTTTTTGAGATGAATCTCCAAAAATAACCTTAACCGTCGACGTCCTTAAGGTTTTTATGCCCAATTTTTTGGCAAATGTCTTTGACATGATGTTGACATTGGCCTGGAATCGCACAGGCAGTCTGTAAACTTGATTCCTGAAATGAAACATTGGAAAACAAAACGTCCTGGATCATCGGCTTTTGTAAGCCTTTGAAACGGTGATCGTTCAGGTACCTTAAATGGTGGCTGCTTGGCATCGACATTCTTGTACAGTGATACAAAGATTGGGGTTTCTTCTTTCTTTCCATCGGTTCTGGCCTCTTCTTCGGGCAATGTGGTTATGGCGTTGCAAAACCTCTTAGGATTATCTTCAACTCTTCTTGGAAGAACTCCACTTTGCCTCTTCATAGAGTCGGCTGTTTGGGCGACTTGCACGTCTAGCTTTTTAACGTGTGAAGATAAAGCTTCAAACTTCTCGTTCAAATCATTGTACATGCAGTCAACTTTCACGTTCACGTCTTTAGATGCTTTTTCGTTCGTCATAACGAGCTGTTGGATGGACTGTTCAAGTCTACCGATTTGTGAAGCTAGCTGGTTCGTCGTGACTCCCTGCTGTTGTACAAATTGATTGTTAAAACCCGTACCTTGGTAGTTATATGGCTGTCGCGGTTGATATGGTCCTGTTCCTCCGAAGTTTCCACCTTGGAACTTGTTTTGGAAGGATTTTTGCTGAGGTGGGTAGTACTGATCTTGAGGATTCTCCACATTTGGATTGCGGTAAGAGAGGTTGTTGTAATTTGCATTCCAGAAGTTGTTGTTGAAGCCATTGTTGAAGCAATTTTGATATGGTACTAGCGCTCCTACATAGTTCACATCTTCTTCTTGAAAGGCTTGATTTATGTGATCAATATCACTAGGTCCTTCATCTTTTGTGCCATTGTTGGTTTCACAAGCATGGATTGGGCGATTATTGCTCTTCAGAAGCTGGCTCATCATGTTCTTCAACTCGGTTATCTCCTTGTTGTTTGTTCCGGTTTGATTCGTCGATCGATCGTATTCAGGACAATCATTGTTATTGGCTTGAGCCAAATTTTCGATGAGGGCTCTTCCTTGGGCTATCTTCTTTTGTCCAAAATCTCCATTGCTAGCTGTATCAAGTGAAAGTTTGTATTTTGGTTGCAAACCTCGGTAAAATGTGCTCAGCAAGCTTGATCCAGGAAATCCATGGTGAGGGCAATCACGTTCATACTCCTTAAAACGTTCCCAGGCTTCATAGAAAGATTCAGTCGGGCCTTGTTGAAAGCTTGAGATCTTTGTTCTCAACAAATTCGACCTTGACTTAGTATAGAAGTGATTCAGGAAAGCAGTTTTACATTCTTCCCAATTAGTAATCGATCCTGCCGGCAAAGATTTCAACCAACGGTGAGCTTTGTCTGCTAATGAAAAAGGGAACAACTTACACTTTAAATAGTCTGCTGGAACTTGGTTTGTTCTCATCATGCTACTGATTTCTTCAAAGAGCTCGATATGGTCCATTGGGTGTTAGGAAGGAACTCCATGGAATTGGTTTTGTTTCACCAATGAGATGATTTGAGGCTTGACTTCAAACTCATTCCGGTTCGGAAATGGAATTTGAATTGCAGATCGGTTTTGAAAGTTTTGAGTAGGTTCATCGAAATCAGCTATGCGATGATTCCTGGCTTGTCTTCGGTGTTAATTTGCTGGCTGTACAGGGCGGTTAACGCGCCCATTCAGCTGCATTCCTTGGTGGTCACCGTCGGCTGCATTGATGGGTGCATCAAGGTCTTCACGTTCTTCTCTCTCGCGGTTCTGGTGGTTTCTCGGAGGAACCTCATCCTCCTCTCCATCTTGTCGAGCATGATCACCTCCTCTGCGATCATTCTCTTCATTTTCTCCATGTTCGGACCCGTCTTGGTCCATATTTAAAGCTCGGTTAATAGGATCTCCAGGCTGGTCGTCGTTGGCCATTCCTTGCATTCGTCTAAGTCTTCGAAGTTCTCTTTCGTGTCTGTCTATCTTGTCTAGAATTGGAATGTTTTCTACAGGTCTGCACCTGGTATTCATGCAATTCAGAGAAAAACAAAAGAAGGGAAAGATAATTCAGCAAAACTTTAAGAAAGAACTAGAGATCAGGTGTCTAGAACAGAAGTTAAAACAAGAAAAATAGCAAAAGGCAGCGAAACAAATCCCCGGCAACGGCGTCAAAAACTTGATTGCGTGTCAACTGCGTGAGGGAACAAGTTTTACCCTTAACAGAAACACATGAAAGCCGCAAGTGCACAGCTAATCAGTTATAGTATTTAGGGATCGAATCCACAGATATTTGTGTGCCTGGTATTCTTCTACGGTTTTTAACTTTATGTCTAGACTAGATTGGTTTTAAAGGTTGGTTGTTTATCACGAATTAAACTAAAACTAAAAGAAAGCAAATAAATCTATCATAGAAAGCAAGTAGAAAAATCGAATGGAAAGCAAGTAAAGCAAGTAAAATATCGAACTAAGGCAATTGAAATGCAGATCTAAATAAACAAGTAAAAATCGATTGGTTTGTAAACTATGGCTAAAAACGCTGAGCTTTTGGGAACTCTAAGAGATCATAATAGGTTTTAACACTAAGGTAGATAGATTGGGATTGACGGATATCGATATATAGGGTTTTAGAGCTAGAGTACGGCGGTATGACTACGTCACTGTCGTGATCATAACCAACTGTTTTTCGCAACCCTGACCAGTAGGTTTCCACTCTGGCCCTGGAAGGGAGAGAACGCAAGAGCTGCACAAGACTCGTCAATACTCACGATCTCGCCGCAGGTAGGTTTCCACTCCTAAGGAAAAATCGCCTGTTTCATTCTAAGGCTGATATTTAATGAAAACTTTCACAACACTAACTATATAGATCAGATACTAGGTGATCAATCAAGCATACATGCAATAAGAACAAGAATAAACAGAGAACAAAGTTGAAGTCCCAGATCTATAAACCTAGATGTCTTAATCGATTATGAGAGCCCCTTTCGGGTACCCTAAGTCCAACTCGGGATCTACTCAGACATGGCTGAGGTCGACATCATCATTGGTTCTAATAAAAGTAATCAAAAACAGTAAAGAAAAGAGATGAAGAAAGCTTCTCTATTGAAGAACTCGAACTTGAACAATATTCTACAAAAATCGCATAAAAACGGCTAAAGGAAAAAGGGTTTCTGTAAAGTATGAAGGGTTGGTCCTAAAAACGACCTAAATGACAAGTATTTATAGTCTTCAATACTCCATGGTCTCTAGGGTTCCGGAATTGAGGCTGAGAATGACTTTGGGCTTCAGAAATATGGGCTTTAGTTCGGAGTTTGACGGCCGCGGTCGGGAGTGACGTGACCGCGGGGAATAGGTGGTTGGCCGCGGTCGGGAGGCTTGTGACCGCGGGAAATGGGCTGTTGGCCGCGGTCGCATGACTTGCTGGCTGTCTTCAAGTGGCTCTGGGGCTAATGGAATATCTTGAGATCCAACCATTGGAATGTCTCATAACCAAATGCATTTGAAAGCTGGTTGATTCTTCTATAAGTTGTCCAATTTTGAGGGTGATCAGACGGTGAGAAGGTCTTCGTCTCTCCATGAGAGTTCTGACGGTTTGCATTTATCCAAAAGAGTCTTTTTGTTCCAATTTGTGCCTCTTTATCCCAAATTACCTGAAAAGTCTTTTAAAATCCGAAAACATAGAAATCGTTTGAAAACCTTTGGAAATGGAGTAAAAACACCTGTAAAAGATATTAAAGTGATCCATAAAAATGGTCAAAATCCGGTGTTATCAGAATTCAAGGCGACGAGGTGATGAAGAGGAGAACGACATGGTCGATGTGGACGCCAAGCAGAGCGATGGAACCAGAAACTCGCAACAAAACGGCTCAGCTCGGCGGATAAGTCAAGAAGAGCTCGCCTAGGCACTAGATGGCATTCAAGCCGATGAGATCACCGACCCGATTCACAATAACGACCCAACCGAGGAAGAGGGAAATCTCCAATGGGTCGAGCAGAGGAGAGAAGATCAGGAGCGACCTCGTCCACCTAGGAGAGAAACCCGCGTGCAGACCCTAGAGATTGAAGAGTTGCAAGCTTTAATGGCTCAGACAGTGGCAGAGATACGCGCCATGAAATCTCAAGTGCATAATGCGACAAGTGCCGCGCCGGAGATTGAACGGATGCTCGAAGAAACCCAAAGAACCCTGTTCACGACAAAAATCACGGAGGCTAAGATTCCCAAACCCGGGAAAGTCAGAATCCTATTTTACGAAGGCACCACCGACCCAAAGGCGTATATCACAGAGTTTCGCATAGCGATGGGACGAGCCTTCACAAAGAATTCTGCCAATCTGACCGAGCAGGAGAAAGATGCCAGCTATTGTCTGCTATTCGTAGAACATCTCAAGGGAGCCGCACTGGAATAGTTTTCAAGGCAAGAGCGCAACTCGATCAGAAGCTTCCAACAGCTCTCCGCTTTGTTCCTGAAGCAGTATTTGATGTTCATGGACCTAGGAACTTCTGATGCCGACTTATGGATGCTATCCCAAGGAACAAACGAGCCGCTTCAGGATTACATGGCAAGATTCAAGGCGGTCGTGTCCAAAGTAGAAGGAATAAGCGACAAGGCTGCACTTGAAGCCCTGAAACGATCCTTATGGTACAAATCCGAATTTCGACGGGAGATGGTGCTCAACACGCCGCAAACAATTCAGGATGCCTTACATCGGTCGTCAGACTTTGTCGTAAACCTGGACGAGCATTACGAAGCGACAAAAGCAGCGATCCGGAGTTTGATCCTGACGTGTCCCTCAAGGAAAGGTAATCCCTCGAACAGCCCGACGATGCAGAGCTCGGAAGAACCAAGGAGTGGAGGCGCCCACAACTACCAATTAGGCGCTGGACGCGGAACGGGAGAGCCGCGAATCAACACTTGAGTGAGGAGGCCCACCAACTATGACGAAAAGGCGTTCTGCGAATGTCATCAATTCTACGGGCACTCAACAGCGCAGTGCCGAACTCTGGAAGCAAAACTCGCAGCTAAAATGACAGCAGGAGAGCTTCAGAGCGCGATAAATCTTAAGGATCTTGCCCCTACTGAACCCAATAAGGAAACCGAGCCGAAAGGCGCGGCAGAACCAGCAAATCTGCCTCGACGAGGTGACAATAGCAAGCGCGACAGGAGAGGCGAACCCAAAGAGCGATCCAAGCCGAGACAAAGGATCAACATGATTATGAGTGGATCCCAATATTACCAAGACATGGTGTCCTCTATCAAAGCCTACCAACGCCGAGCCGTAGCAAAGGAGAACTGGACCGAACCAACCGATCTCCCGAACACAGTGATCTCTTTTTCTGAGGAAGAAACGGCAGGGATAGATAGGCCTCACTGGTGATCGAACTGACGATTAGAGATCATGATGTAGAAAGAGTACTCATCGACACCGGGAGCTTGGTAGATGTTATCTTTAGAGAGACACTCAGAAGGATGGGAATCGACCTCTCCGAGGTGATGGCTGTCCCAAAGCCTCTAACCGGATTTTCAGGAGAAACAACGATGACTATGGGCACAATCAGGCTCCCCGTGGTGGCTGGTGGAGTCACTGAGATCGTCAAATTCTTGGTCACCGACCACCCAACGATCTATAAAGTGATCATGGGAACTCCATGGATAAACACAATGAGAGCAATCCCTTCAACCTATCACCTCTGCATCAAGTTCCCGACTCCAGCAGGCATCAAGACGATTTGGAGAAATCAGAAAGAGTCGCGAATGTGTTTCCTGGCGTAGCACAAACTGAGAAATCCTGTCACCGACGCACGCGCATATGTGGATCGCAAGAAGCTTCAGACGGATCGAGAGCCCATAAACGAGCTTTCCAAACCCTTATACCAATCACAGATCGCGGAGAGTCGCGAGACATGCACCGAGCCGGTATATGATGCGGTAACTTGGTGTGCATACGAAGCGCATCCAGAGAGGTGCGTCGAGATTGGAACCAAGCTGGAAGAGCCTCTGAAGAACGAACTCCTCTTCTTCCTCAAGGAGAATATCAACACTTTTGCTAGGAGCGTACAGGATATGCTGGGCATAAGCATCGACGTGACCTGTCACGAGCTAAACGTAGACCCGACCTTTCAACCGATCAAGCAGAAAAAGAGGAAGCTTGGCCCTGAACAAGCTAAAGCTGTCAACGACGAAGTGGAAAGATTGCTCAAAGTAGGATTGATTGCCGAAGCAAAATATCCGGACTGGCTCGCAAACCCGGTGGTAGTGAAGAAGAAAAATGGCAAGTGGCGAGTCTGCGTAGACTTCACAGACCTCAACAAGGCGTGTCCAAAAGACAGCTTCCCTCTACCGCATATCGACGGTGGGAAACAGGTTGTTGACATTCATGGACGCGTTCTCAGGTTACAACCAAATCCTGATGCATCCCGATGACAGAGAAAAAATGGCGTTCATAACCGACCACAAAATATATTGCTATAAAGTCATGCCGTTCGGACTCAAAAACACTGGAGCAATGTATCAACGGCTATTAAATAAGTTGTTCGCAGATCAGCTCATAAAAACGATGGAGGTGTACATCGATGATATGCTGGTCAAATCGCTTGAAGAAAATAACCATATCACGCACCTACGGGAATGCTTCAAGCAACTAAACAAACATAATATGAAGCTAAATCCGGCAAATGTAGATTTGTGGTAACCTCGGGAGAATTCCTCGGCTATTTGGTAACACACCGAGGCATTGAAGCAAACTCCAAGCAGATCAATGCGTTAATCTTCTCCAAGAACGAAGCGAGAAGTTCAGTGGCTCACAGTAAGAGTTGATGTGCTAAACCGATTCATCTCGCGATATACTAACAAGTGCCTCCTTTTCAATGATATCCTCCGAGGAAATAAGAAGTTCGGGAATAGGAGTTCGCCTCACCTCGCCAACAGGAGAAATCTTGGAGCAGTCATTCCGCCTGAATTTCCATGCCTCGAACAACGAAGCAGAGTATGAAGCATTGATCGCTGGCCTACGACTAGCACAAGGAATCAAAGTTCAAAATAAGAGCCTTTTGCGACTCACAGCTCGTACCAAACCAATTTAACGGAGAATACGAGGCGAAGGATGAAAGAATCGGAGTGTATCTCAGAGTAGTCTGAAACTTAGTAGAAAAGTTCGACGAGTTCGAGCTCACGCGAATACCCAGAGGCGAAAACACCTCGACGGACGCCTTAGCAGCGGTCGCCTCGACCTTGGACCCGGATCTCCGAAAAACAATTCTGGTCGAATTCATGTAGAAGGAGTTCGGCTAATCAACTCACCAGAGGAGGAACCAGATAACGACGAGGCGATTGCAATGGAAGAAGACGCCTTGTCAGCCGAGCTAGAGTAATGCTGCATCAAGGAATGGCTTGGAGCAATTCGAATCTGCATCGCCGACAGAGAGGTTTCATCCAACAAATGAGAGGCTCGCAAATTAAAGGCTCAAGCCGCGCGGTACGTCCTTGTCGACGTGAAGTGTTTAAATGGAGATTTTCAGGACCATTGATGATGTGTGTCGAAGGATCCGAAGCAAGGAAAATAATGCACGATGTGCACAGCACCGCGTGTGGAAATCACTTTAGCAGAAGGTCCCTAGCGTTCAAGATAAAGCGGCACGGATACTTCTGGCCCACGATGGTCAAGGACTGTTATAAATTTACTGCAAAGTGCGAGAAGTGTCAGCGGCACGCTCCCCCCATCCATCAACCAACCGAGCTGATATCGTCAATTTCGTCGCCCTATCCCTTGATGAGATGGTCGATGGACATAGTTGGGCCTTTACATCGGTCAAAGCAGAAGCGTTTTCTGCTCGTCATTACAGACTACTTCTTCAAATGGGTCGAGGCCGACTCCTACGCAAGCATAAAAGACGCCAAGGTCAAGCACTTTGTCTGGAAAAATATCATTTGTAGGCACGGAGTTCCATACGAGATAGTAACAGACAACGGCTTTCAATTCATCTCAACTCACTTTGAAGCTTTTTGTGAGAAGTGGAAGATTCGCCTAAGTAAATCCACGCCAAGATATCCCCAAGGGAACGGACAGGCCGAAGCAACTAATAAAACAATCCTGGACGGGTTAAAAAAGAGACTCGATGCTAAGAAAGGAAGATGGCCAAATGAAATGGAAGGAGTCCTTTGGTCGCATCGGACAACTCCACGCCGAGCTACCGGAGAAACCCCATTCGCCTTCGTCTATGAAACAGAATGCGTGATTCCTCCCGAGGTGGACTTCCCTGGAATTTGACGAAGACTTCTACCAGGACAAGAAGACTTGAATCACTTGATGATGCTGGACGAGGTTGATCTAATTAACAAAAGCTGCGAGTGGGCTTTAATCCGAGTCCAGAACTACCAACAAGCAACGGTGAGATAATACAACAAAAATGTCCGAAGCCGATGATTTCAAGAAGGGGAGCTCGTCTTTAAAAAAGTATTTCAAAATACTGTCGAGAGGAACGCTGGGAAGCTCGGAGCAAATTGGGAAGGCCCCTACAAGATCACGAAAGGGGTTCATCCACGAGTTTATGAACTCGCAACAACGACTGACGAAGCAATTCCAAGATCGTTGAACACCATGCACCTGAAGAAGTACTATCACTAAGGATACACCACGGCCAATATGAACTATGGGACAACTTGATCCCTGAAAAGGGTACGTAGGCAACCCGTCCTCGGTACGTATACACTTAAACCATTTTCAACTTTTAGCTCGTCTAGTCAACCATTTTTAGGTACATTTTCTCTTCGGATAGTTTTTCATCCGCTTATTGTCACTCCGGCTAGTTTTTTATTTTTTGACGAATTTTACAACGGCTAGATTCTTATTTATCATTGCATTCACTTCGACAAAATCTTTTGCTCGTTACCACTCCACCTTGGTATTCAAATACCGAACACCTCGTCTCGTTGTTGGCCACAACGAGACAACAATTACAACATTCTCTAAACAGACTTTTACCACCTTTTCTAGGAAGAGAGTGCAAGTTACATCCTCTATGGATAAAAATTAAGAGCGCTATACAAATTTCAGACCAAAAACGTATCGGTCACCACGGTTCACTGTCGCACACGAGATTATAAGTCGAGACTACATCGCTTTCTCTAAAACCGAAGTGAACTCTTAAAACCCGACAAAATATACTCACCTTTTAGGGAACGCCAGTCTATAGCCATAATTTGGCACTATCGTTTCAGACTTTAAATAAGAAATCCGAGTATAACATCTCGGTAGGCAAAAACCGAACCAATTTAAACACCTCATCATACTTATGACTCAACGCCTCGACATAAACAGTCAACACCCTAACAGACATCGGTTCCCTTTTTAAAAATCGGGAAACCAAATCAAACCTAATCATCTATCCAGGACAAGGACATACCCCCCAACTCAGAAACACTGATCCTCAGACGTATTACAACTTAAAAAGGGTTCGTTTTAATCTTTGAAATATAAATGGCTCGTCTTTATTCGAGACATTCCATCGATATTTCCCGAAACAGCTCGGCTAGGAGATAAGACAACAGCACCCCTAGCGCGACTCGAAAAACACCTAAAAACCATTTTGGGCGAATTACCTGAAAACCGCTCGCCTCAACGCGAGTTTTCCGCAAAAACAGTTTGAAACAAATAATTCCCACGAAATCATTAAGGCAAAACCACCAATTCCAAAAGGAGATAAACAAAATCGGTACTAGATAAATCCAACTCTGCCATTTTCGTCTTTTTGGCCAAGGTCATTTTCGTCTTTTTTAGCCTTCTCCAACTCTGCCATTTTCTTCTCAATCTCGGATAGTCGCGCCTGGAACTTAGCTGTCGCGTCTGGCCTCCTTCGCGTAATCTCTACCCGGGACGCGAGAAGTGAGTCTTTCGCCGCAATCTGCCTCTTCAGAGAAGCGATTTTGCTGTTCTTCCTTACCCGCGATTCCTCATAACGGGTGGCCATCTTTTCGCGGTCCGCTTTCAAGACCTTTTTCTCTTCTTCGAGTGCCTCGATCCGGGCTAACGCTTTCGCATTCTCCCCTGAGGCCTTCTCTAGCTCAGCCTTGAAAGTTGTGTTATCACGTCTAGCCTTTTCAAGGCGACGTTCATCATTAAGCGCGTCGGCCTCGTAACCAGCCATCATCTCATTCACTGCGGCATAAAAATAAGAAACACGGAAGATCAAAATTGAGTCTTAAACGCAAGAAAGTGTTAAAGGTAAAACGACGAACCATACCTTGGTCTCGCGCTGGGCCATCGCGGCATAGGGCTTTGATCGTCTGAGCTTCTCGGGGCACGCAAGATAACATTGGCATTGTCGATCTTTGAGAAAAGAGATGTCGAAGCCTCGGCGTCATCGTCGACAAGATTTTTGGGGACCACCTTCTGCTTCTTCTTTGAGACCTCGTTCTTGTCAGAAGCTACTCCTTTGGCTTTCTCCTCGGCAGATCGCCTGCACTTCATTGCCTCATGTTTTACGAGCTTGGAAGCGTCGGGCCTCGTCGGTTGCAGAAGAGCGAGCACCACCGAGGCAGGAGGCGTAGGAGGATCTCTCGATGCGCTCGACGTTCTGGTGGACGCCTCGGGACAATTTCTCCATGTTCAGTGTCACCCTCTTTGGCAGCGTCCGAGCCAGAAACAACCGCCTCGTCGCCTCTCTCCTTAGGATCCACTGGCTCGTCCCGAGCCGACATCTCCTTGTCGGGTTTGGCGGTCTCACCAGTCTTCTCAGAGTTTTCCTTGCCCTGCTTAGAAGCCTCCGCTGCTCGCCTTTCAGCCTCCTCGGCCTCCCTCCTCTTTCGCTCCCTCAAAGTGATCAGAACCATTTTCTCTCTCGTATCTGCTGAAGATTCGGAAAATTCTGAGCTAACTGTAATCCCAGCTAGAATGGAACGAGCTTTCTCCACTCTTTTGTGCGAAAAGTGGCGTTTCTAATTGACCTTTCTAGCAGCCAAGGCATCTCAAACCAAAAATAGATCGTCTAGAATCGGAGGGAGAGTATTCTGAACTGCACGAGAGAGCAAATAAAGGGAGTCAGAAAATAAGACAAAATTTTTGCAAGATCCTAGCCAAAGAAAAGCTACCAAGTGGTCCCCAATCTGTTTTGACCCTGTGGATAAAGCTTTCGCCCACCGATTCCTCGTTCACTTGGACATAAAAAAAGCGCTCGGTCAAAAAACTGTCTTTTCTTGGGAAACCTCTAATAATCCGACGTTTTGACTTGCTGGAGATGTAAAATTTGTTTCCCCTTTGGGCCTTGCAAATTTCTAACAAATTGAGCAGGTGATTCAGCTCAACGTCAATCCACATTCAAAACTCCGAACAAGAATGTCAACCATATGCCGTAAACCCCTCAGCATAATTCGCAGGAGGACGGTCAGCTCGGTCGGTCTTCCCCAGAACAACGAATTCTACTGCCTCG